CACACACACACACACACACACACACACACACACACACACACACACACACACACACACACACGCAAATACACTCACTCTCACATACAATGTGCACACACGCACACACATTCTCCTGTCTATTGGTGACACCTGCTGGAAACTTGGTCCAACATCCCATGAACATCGTGAATAAAGCACCAGCCAGGACCCCCCCCCACACACACTCTTCGAGGTGTATAGTGAACATGACAAAACATACACACAGCATAATCACTACCTTACCCTTCCCCAACCACATCAACAAACAAACTACGGGCTCTATAACCGTTCCCTCACGATAAGTCAATTTTTATTTCACAGGCCCCAACGCGGATGTCGTGTTCTGCTCGACAACACCCTTTTGAAACAGGGCCCACCATTGAATGTGCACTGGTCCCAAGGAACGTGGTGTGCGCAATACGAGGACGAACATCTATGCGGGGCACACCATGCGGACATCGGCGAGCATGCGGGCGGGGTTGGGGGGGGAGCACAACAACTTTTTTTTTTTTACATGGGGAGCTGCGCCAAGCATATATGATCATACTTCATCAGCAATGAATGTCCGGATAGTGACGGTGGGGGTATGTGCCAAGTATGGAGTGGTGGGGGGCAATTTAGGGTTTCGTTAGACGCTCCTAAATCTTCCAATTTTTAGGACGTCGGCGTAATTAGATACCTCCTAAAAAGCGATTTTGGATTCAAAAATGTGAAAACGGCGTTAGGACGTTTCCTAAAAGACTTAGGAATCCCCAGCCAAAAGCTCTAATATTTTCAAGAACCTCACGAGGTTCTTGAAAATAAGGGAACCCGCATTTCACGGACTCTCGGCAATGCGCGCAGGGCACCCATGTTGTCGTTTGCGGACGAAGATGGACACGTGCTTCGAAGGGGGGACAACGCATGGCGGCGAGCGGGCAGGTGTGGGACGTGGCAACCATCACGAAGTTCAAAGTATTTCTTCATCGACCGTGCTCCTGTGAGGACAACAACTCGGCACACTACATGTACAGCGCGTGTTGGATTGTGGTCAGTCGACGCATGCCTGCCATGCACTTGTCATTGTCGAACGTTTGTCGTTTGGGCAGTGTGCGGTGGAGGAGGTGTCCTTCATGGCCGACATGTATAGAAGGCTGCCAATTGTCGTCGTCGTCGTTGTCGTTTTCACGCTTGTCCTCATCTTGCACTTCTTCTTTGGGGTACGAACGACGACGTAGCAACACAAACGACAACCGAGCAAGGGACACAAATTGCTCCCCTTGTCTTCCAGTACGGGGAACGGTGGTGGAGCAGTAGAGGGCGGCGGTGATGGGGCTGGCTATGGTGGGGTTCGTCGACGGCGGTACGAACCGAGTCTGTACAGTCATCGACCTCCAGCCCCTCCCAGAAACAGACGACCAGATGGGGGGCGGCGTGCTGGGGACGTTACCTCTGGCCAGCAGGTCGACGCAAAGCTGGCCATTGGGCATCCAGGCGCATGCAGGCAGCAGTGGACTTGCAGGCAAGTACACGACTTTGTTGTAGGGCGGGCTCGACGGAGGGCGACGTGGACTTGAACTTTGGCTTGTCCACGAACACTTCAACTTCGGCGACGCACACGTTCATTGTGAGGCAGGCTCCATCCGACGGCGCAGGTGGACATTATCTGCCGGCCAACGGAAACGAGGTGTGTTGGCCGCCAGTTCAGTGATGTGCCAGGTACGAAGTCGCCTGCGAGCGATTTCTCACTAATCGGTCGAGTGTGCAGCACGTGGGGGCAACCATCACTCCCATCGACGGTGCATGTGCTGGCATCTGCGTCGGTCTCAGGAAGATACATTCTTCCACTGCGTTGTCGTCTGCAGCGAGTTGCGGGGGCGCGACTCACGCAGACGACCACCACCGGCAGTGCAACAAACGAGCGTGGACAACATCACACAAGGAGTGTCGAACATGCGCGTTGTGAGCAATGGCACGGACGACATCGATGATGCCAAGCCTGAAGATTGCAGCATCCAAGACATTGACAACGACGGCGATAGTGGTGATGATCTGGATATCCGGCCTCTTGGAAAAAAAACCAGCCGCGTCGAGGGGTTGCGGAAAGGATGGCAGTCGAGGTCGTGGGGGGGGGAGGGCAAGCAAAGGAGTTACTGCTTCCGGGACACGTCGAAGATACCGTGGATGAACGAGGAACAACTCCACCCTGCGAGTGTGAAGCGGGAGCAGGACTTGTATTATGCGGGCCTCGACCATAACTACAAACGAATGAAGACGAAGATGCAGTGATGGGAAGACATATCGAAGGGATTGCTGGACGTCGGCGTGGTCCGGAACTACATAGAAGCCTTCATGAAGTGGGATAACCTCCTCCAAAAGTACGAGAAGATTTAAAGATTCCAAGGAAAGAGAGGTGAAAACGATTTCTTCCGGTTGATGACAGAGGAGCGGAAGACGTTCAAATTCAAGTTCATGATGGAGTGCCGTTTGTACGACGAGATTGACGGTGGCATGCTCGTCAACCACACCATACAACCGCCAAATGTTGCTGACACAGGCGATCCCGATGGTGTGCAGATCCCCCGGCGTGGTGGGACAATCGGCGAGTTTGTCGGCAGCGAGGGGGGGGGGGGAGCTGAATGTCGACGAAGGAGGGTCCACCCGAGAGTCAGACAACACCGGCGGCAGCGGGAAACGCAAAAATATGCGACAATAAACCTTCGAAGCCATCGTGGCAGTCATGGATCGGCATGGGGAGGTGATGGTGGGTATCGTCGACAACGCTAGCAAGCGACAATGCGCCATCTTGGAACGTTAGTGCGACATACTGGAGCGCGGGGTCGAAGTGCAAAAGCCGCATTACTTGTCGTCCGATGACATGGAAAGGATGATGTGTCACGCGCTGCTGGAGATGGCCGCTGCCATCCGTGGTTGGTCGTAGTGGATTGATAGCAGGAGGTAGGAGGGACTGTGAGGAGAGGGGGGAGGGGGGAGGGGGGCGGGGGGGAGGGTCGCGAGTTCATGTTGAGGTTGTGGGGGTTGTGGTTGTCCTCCGTCGAGTCCGGCCGTTGTGTTTTTGATCGTCTGTGTAAAGCATAGCGCAGGTGTTTCAACGCGCCATATCCGCAGCGCCATGCCGGTTTTTCCGCAAGATGCGGGAAAAGATCGTTTTTCGTTTTTAATCATTTGTTCGTGGTGTTGGCGATGCCCATTTGTCTCGTGGATGGATCCACTAAAACACTTGTTGTTGCGCTGCCTGGTGACAAATCATTATTGACAAATGATGAGTTTCAATCTTTTGCGCCATCGGTGCATGGTTGTCTGTGATGGTCTCTCTCTCTCTCTCTCTCTCTCTCTCTCTCTCTCTCTCTCTCTCTCTGTCTCTTACATACAAGTATATATAAATGTGTATCATCGTTTGTGTGCGTGTTTGTTCGTTGCCATTGTCGGTATGGCCAGGGGCATCTAGGTTGGGAGTGGATTGCTGTCTCAGATAGTTGTTGAAATGACTCATTGGAAAACAACAAAAGATTTTTTTTTGTTGAAAAAAACAAAATACCACGCTGGGTTATGAAACCATGCATCGTGTGGTTGTTGTCGACGTCGTGTCACTGCAAATTGTCGGTGTACATTTATGGAATTGTCGTCTGCGTGCAGCCAAGTACACATATCCGAAACCAGTTCCCGCTGGAACTTCCTGCAGTCCATGGGAGCGAGTTTGGGGACCGAACATCCCAGCCACGCCCATAAAACGGGTTTGTCGTTGGGTTCAATCTTATTCTTTCGGCGCGCACAAACACACACGCACACATACACACACACACATGCACACATGCACACATGCACAGGCACACACACACACACACACACACACACACACACACACACACACACACACACACACACACACACACACGTAATCAAGCGGATGGCGATCCCATACTGCGTATGCGGGGTTGATTTCAAGTCACCCGTTGCGCGCATCTGTTTACCTGTTTCCAGGGGCGATGTGATGGGGCGCGTCATCACCGGGTGGGAGCACGTGCACAAGGTCGAGGATCGTCCTCCGCATCTTCCGATCATACCGAAATGTCCGGATGTCACGGAGCGGATGGCGAAATACGTGGACGTCGTCCGCAACGGCATGAAGGAAGCTCATCTGCTCGCTGTCGTCGACGAGGCGGGCGAGAAGCTTGTTCGGGTGACGGTGGTCGTGGAGAAGACATCTCCCATGCTCCCCAACGCTGCATTAGCGGGGGATGACCCGCTGGCCGACTTGGTTGCATTGTGCGTCCCCTGGGTTGCACACGAGTACGTCGGCCACGCATAGGAGATAGAGGTCGGAGCGAGGTATTCGACGATGGCGATGCCGCCTTTCGAGGACAGATCGCACATTTCGGGTGTTGTGCAACTCGGCGACAAGGGCAAGACGTTCATGTATGTCCGCCCTTGAACGTTGCTGCTTCGGTGTTGGTGGTGGGGGAGTTTGGGAGGGGGGGAGATATGGAGGGGGATTTGGGGTCACGAGGAAAAGAGCCCAACGGGCTTTTCTCCACGCGCGGGGATCCAGTAATCTTCGTGGCGAGAAGAGACAACATAAAGCATGCCGGCAAGGGACAACATAGACACTGTGGTCCATCCATTGTAAACACGGCGGTCCCTCCGTTGAGATCCTTGCGCTGTCGTTGTTCGCCATCGAAGTGCCGCCAGCGACACCACGTGCGCAATCCGTAGTCGACCGCGTGCAGTGACACGTGGCCTTTGCTTTGTCGACGAGCATCGAAGGGCGGCCAACCTCGCAAGGTTTCGCCAGAAACTCTGTCGACCATGACCCACGGTGGGGCAGGAGGGACTGGACGTGGAAGAAAACGAGACAGCGGCATGGGAGAGTCCCGGGATGGTGAAGGAGTTCGTTAGCAGCCGCCACGGAGGAAGAGGGGAAGAAACGACGGATCGTCTCGTGCACAAAGCGGCTTCAGCGCGGTGGGGTGGGGAGCTGGCAGCGATGAGACGACTTCCAGACTGATGACGAGGGAGAGCGGGGAAGCCGTGAGATCCCGCTCGTTAGACGGCCACGGAACACGGGGGCAGGGGCGGTTGAGCGGTCGACACGGAAAACCCCATCGCCAGCACCGAAACAGCCCAACACGACGGGGCGGGAAGGAGGAAGACGACGTCAGGATGAGATCGTCATCAACGACGCGGGAGATGAGGGCGCCATGGCGGGCGCGTGTGGTGGTGGCGCGGTTGTGGAGTCTGTACTGCAGGCGACGCACGCCAAAAGGATGAAGGCGCAAACAGCAGGGACGGGGCGTCGTTGCTGCTTCAGGGCCCC